TTTTATTATTCAGACTTCTCAAAGAAATGTATATATGATGTAAGGTTAGATCCTGATTAACTTTGGCCACATTCTGTGTTTAAACTTAAATTACAAGGTCAGGTACAATAGCAAAGCAATATGTATTGGAATGAACCCTACCAGGACATCCACTAAGCAATAAACACCCAGGGACCCAAAGTGCTATCATGCGGATGAGGATCACCAGGGGAGAGGTCCAAGAAACCCTGTTTAACTGTTAAGTTATATTAGGGCCCCTGACTACAGCCGGGATGGAGGTTTTAAAATAACAAACACTGCTTCTTATATTGGAACGATTTGAGTAATAATGTATAGGGAATTTTGTTTAAATGATTCTGTAATTTAAAAAAAATATTAAATTATGTCATAAATGGTGAATTTTATCACTTTAGTCAAGGTCTGAAAAAATCATGGCCTTATCAAGGAGTTAAAGCTTGTCAAGAACGTTGGAATATTAGAGAAAAGGTAAATGACATCTTTATGACTTATTCTAGAAATTATATCTAATGTTAGCATGTGTACACTGGTTCTAGAGTGACTGGATCTACAATTTGTGTGTAAAATGCTAAAATATTTAATGAAAGTAAAGTCTCTACAGTGACATAGTAATAAGGGAGGTCAAGGATAGCCTGGAATACTAGCCGGAGGTTATAATCTAAACAATCTTTGTTATGCACATGATACAGTAATATTAGCTGAAAATGCAGAAGACCCACAACAACTATTAGACACTGTGGTACTAGGGAGTGCAAAAAAAGGGACTTTCCTTGAAAGAAATAGATAACTTGAAAATGTGACTGACATAGCAATAGAATGGAAAGTGCTTAACCAAGTCAATAAATTCAAGTATTTGGGGAACATTCATAACATCAGATGGATGATGTGCGAAGGAAATTAAGAGCAGAATTGGCCAGGCAAAGGTAGCATTTCAGAAGATGAAAAGTATCTTATAATTACTCTCATTAAACATCATAAATCGAGTACTGACATGTTACATAAAGCCTGTTCTGTTATATGGCAGTGAATCTTGGAATGTGCAAAAATAAATTAGGAAGAGCTTGGAGGCCACTGAAATATGGTTCCTGAGAAGAACAAAAAGAATACCGTGGACTGCCAGAATAACTAATGATTATTGCCTGGAAATGGCTAAGGAAAGTAGAACTTTATATACAACAATGAAAAGAAAAGTTTATTTTGGTCATGTGATCAGAAAAATGAGCACTGGAAATTATTGTGATGACTGGAAAGATCACTGATGGAAGAGGCAGAAGCAAACCAACTGAAATAATAGTGAATGGCTTAAGACAGTGGCATGGAGGAATATTATCAGTACAATTGATCCAGAACATCAGAGATCAAGATCTGTTGAGATGCATGAAGACCCATGTCAGCTGGCAGGTATAGTATAGTTCATGGGAATAAATTGTAAGTGAGCAGTTGTCTTACAATTACAAGGTCATCATATCCATGCTATTCCCTGTGTGGGATTTGGGGCCATTTTAGGGGGAAAATAGACCCACTGCTTCCCTACCCCCCAACAAGCATGTCATAAAAGCCAATTAATTAGAGATGGGCTGAAATCGGATGTATTACACCAAAATGTACAGAAATTGCCCATGAACTGAACATCCAAATGCAACATGCCATCCAAACTTTTAAGGAGGATATAAAAGGAGGATATAAATGACCAAAGATTTTCTTCAAGAGAAAAAATTACCTGTAATCACCATTAGGTGTCTTACAAAAATAAGGATGCCAATATGCACCGCAAAGTGTCTATTACAGTAGAGCTAAAAAAAAATGGTGCCCCTAAAAACAAAGATGCCAGTGGCCAGAAAAAAAAGCTCTCATGATGACATATCAAATATGGTAACATGAATTTATTTTCTCTAACAAATGGCACATGACTTGTTGCATGACGCCTGTTTTGTGAGACTGGCTAGCATTCAAACCATTTGGGTCACAGATCTAAACTCATGACTACGGGGCTAGCAGATGATTGAAAAACCATGCCAGTTTGTGAGCCTTCTCCACGGTGAAGATTAGCTACAGTGTACCCACTGCTGTCTTGGGAATATTACTTGGTGAGGCCACAGTCACTTCTATGGTGGGACTGAAACCACTGTATGAAAACCATGAGAATGTTAAACTGTCCAATTATGCTTCTTTTTCTTCTTAGAATTCACCAATCATAAAACCCAGTGGAATGTTTTGGCTGTTCACGCATTTTTGGACTTAAGTCTTGTTCCAAAACATGAGTTTTGCATGTACATACATTTTACAGATCTGGCTTTTTGTTTGCAGACTAAACTTAACATGTTTGTAAAATGATGTTACATTAAAGTTCTCCAAGCATTTAACATCACTAATATGATAAGTCTACCTGTTTAGAAGTTTAAATTATTTTTTTTTTTAAAGAGTGGTAAAGCAGCTAGTGATATTTTCAATTACTTCATAGTTGATTGCAGAATAAAAACTCATGAAATGAGTACTTACTTTACTTCCTCTTCAGATTCATCCTCCTCCTCCTCCTCCTGGAAGTGAGAGAACAAATGGTAGATACTGAGTTCACACAAATTACACAACTCAAAGAAACTCACCATGCAGCTTTGGCTACTCTACTCATGACAGGTTTGTTTTCATTAAACATGCCTCTCCAAACTGTAATGAACTCCTCTGCACTATGGTGTAAATAATTAACATTTTCAATACAAGAAAGTTCCACTTGAGATGACAAATGTTGGAAATAACTATGAAATGTTAGAGGCTATATTCACATTGATAGTGCAGTGAGGAAACCAGATTTATTCAGTATGCTCTGACCAAATACAAAAGAACTAACAGTCTGCATACAAATAAACCAGGTCCGTACAATGGATGTGCATGAAAAACTCAAGTCCTAAAACAAAACTAAAGTGCAAAAATAGTTGAACAAAGAGAACTTTCTGCTGGGGTTTACAGCTATGAAAACAGAAGAAGCAGTTACTTTATAAGCCCAGCTAGCAAACAAGCTATTGGCAGGTGGATAAACTAGCCATGTCACCACCATAGACTATCTCTGGCATCTTCCTCCTGTCTGTCACACTATTTCTAAATGCATTAATCAAATTTTGTGGGTGTCATCAAGAGATCAATAGCAGTCTCCACTTCCTCTTTAGTACAAGAGGCTTCAACAGAAAATGTATGATATATACCATGTCACTGTCTCTTACCTGCTAATATTGTTGTTTCAGATGTCATGTGATGTCACAGTGCAGACAAACATGTTGACATAATTTCCTGTATGAGGCCTTCAATGGCTGAAGTTGACTCTACGGTCACTACTGGATGTACCTAAGCTTGTCATGAAAAATCTGTCATAGAAGTCACACCATTTTAAAACTTCCAACTCCACCCATACACTGGGTGAACAGACAGGCATGCATCACCAAACTGGACCTTCATTGACCGATGAATTTCCTATTGGTTTCACCCCTTCACTGATCCCACAATGGATAACAGAATGTGGCTTCTCATTGGTGCATGTCAAAAGTGTGGTGGCCATCTTAAAACTATTATCTTCTTCTTCTTCTTCGCGGTCACCAGCTGTAAACTCTGGCGGAAAGTTCTGGTTGTTCATCCACTTCTGGACTGCAGTCCCGTTCCAAAACTTGAGTGTTGCGTGTGCATCCGTTTTACAGATGACTCATTTGTGTGACTGCTGGTTCCTTGCCTCTCAGGCAGATGCACTCCGACTTCGAAGGAAGCTCCCAATTAGTCGACTCTTACGACATGCTTTTGGGTAGGCAGTGGTTCTATTCTTGTTTTCCCTATAATAGGGCCCCGGAATCCACACAGGGAAAAACTATTATGATATCAGCATGTTTTTTTGCACCGTAATATCATGTGTTTTGCTTAACACTCTGACCTTAACAACAGTATTGACAAATTACATAACAGTGGCATTTTTACTGTAATTTCTATCACACTTTTAAGGTTATTTCAAGCCCTTCATGTTCTCCCTGTTAGGCTGAGAATAACAAAATTAAACAACATAATTTACCTCTTCATCTTCATTCTCCTTTTCTGAGTCATCATCATCATCATCATCATCAGTGTCTTTATCATCATCTTTGTTACTTGTCTGCAACAATTATTTGTTTAGACAATTTGATGTGAGACAAAACTAAGAAAAGAAAATAAATAAGCTTTAATTTTTTTACTGCTAAGCTGAGAAAATACTGTCTCCTTCAGTGCAGTAGAATTTTAGTTCTGGAAATTAATTCCTATCTAAAAGCTGTTTAGAACCTGTGTTAATCAAAAATGAAAAAAATACCCCTATAAGAGTTAATGTAAACTGGAATATTTCCTAACTTCCTCTTCTTCTTTGTTCACTGGCTGTGAATTCCAGCGGAAGGTCCCAGCTGATCGTCCGCTTGGATTTTTGCCTTTTAGCTGGACCTGAGTTATGCGTGTTTAACCATTTTACTGGCTTTTGTCTTTCCTTGCCTCACTGGCAGATGTACTCCGACTTTGAGGTAATTTGTTAACTTCAAACAGCTGTCAAGACATTTTAATGTTTGCATCAATACTTCAAGAATAAAACCCCCCAAAAAAGTAATGACAAAAATATGTATAATCTGACGAACACAATAAGTAGATAAACTGTCTTCGAATGCGACAAGTAATCTTTTATCATATTCTACCATTCTTCGCACTTATAGGAGTTTGAATGAAAATGGAAAAGGGGGGGGGGGGGAGATTTAAACTGGGGGTGGGGGGAATTGGCCAGCTCACATCATTCCATAAATGCACATAAAGAACTAACACAATACACCCCCAACAGCCTTGGGAGGTATTTGCATCAAAAATTAATGAACGAAGAGGATAGTGAAGGCCTGACACTTCTCACCCCTTCAACAGTATCTGTGATACCAACTAACATGGTACAATGATACTAGTATATTAATAACTGAACACAGAAAATTTCTTACTGATACCTTGCGTTTGGTGATTACAGGTGTAACTTTTTGTTTAGCACTTTTATTGGTTTTCTTATCTTCCTCCTCCACAACGGATTCATTGTTACCCAGTTCTGACTGGCTGATGTCCAGGTTTTCATTCTGTGGAAATTCTTTAAAAAAAAATGGTGTCAGAGAACACATACCACATCTCTTGCTAACTCGACATGGCATTATTTCTTAACATCCATGTGCTTCTTTTACATGTATCTTTTCTGACCTATTTGTTACTATAACTCCTCCTGTCGCAGATTAACTCTTTCAGTCATGCACTGTGTGATGGAATCCTCCTCTTGAGTCACAGCCAGAAAATATTTTCTCTTACATTTTAAACCTGGCCACATCCATTGTGTTTAGCCACTTTAGTATTCATACAATTTCTCCCAAACTGGAAACACCCACTAAATTAAAGAATTAAACAAGATATTAAATATTGCTGCATTTAGTCACCGAATCTATTCAGTCTATACATCATGAGAGCCTTCTTCTTTGCGTTCACCAGCTGTAAACTCTGGCAGAAAGTTCTGGTTATTCATCCACTCTTGGACTGCAGTCCTGTTCCAGAACCTAAGTGTTGCATGTGCATCTGTTTTACAGATGTGACTTATTTGTATGCAGACTGCTGGTTCCTTGCCTCTCAGGCAGATGCACTCCGACTTCAAAGGAAGCTCCCAATTAGTAGACGCTTACGACATGCTTTTGGGTAGGCAGTGGGTCTATTCTAGTTTTCCCTATAACAGGGCCTTGAAACCCACACGGGGAATGAGAGCCTTAATCTGCTACATTAAACATTTGACTGGGTAAAATGAGGACTGCTGGCTGCATGGATTTGTTATCATGGTATGGGACGTCACAGGTCGACCCAGCCTAAAGTGGGTACCAGGATGGATGTCCTGGGGAAGTAAAGATGGGCGGCCTAATACTGACCATTTTACCCACCTAGTGCTGACTGATCTGTAGAAAAATGGTACTCTTTCCTTATGCCCGATGTGCCAAAGGCATGAAAAGGGATCTATACTTTTGTAAAATATGAGGAAACAGAAAGTCAGAAAACAAATTTGGGGAACAAAAATCAGATTAAATATCTACCAACAATAAAAGGCTACCATAAGAATTGACAGCAGATAGAAACTTGTCAATGCAGTAAACAAAATAGGACTGAGTACTGTCACCTCATCTACACTCTATTACAAGATGTACCAGGAATATGCAGTAAGTCATGACAACAGGGAAACTAGAGGGGAAAAGAGGCAGAGGCAGAACAGTAAAGATAATGTTAGATAGATTGTTATAGTATGGAGGAACACCTGTATAAAAACTGACTGACACACTACATGTGACAGAAGACCAGACAGACTAACCAACATCAGGAGGCATAGACTTTAGTGCAGAACCAGCACTTTTTTCACCTAAGCTTCAGAAATGGTTACTTTAGAGTGCACTAATACTGGAACAGAAAGTGTTGGGAGTAAAAAAAAAATAATTCAGTGCTGTGTTGAAAGTTTCCATAAATGAATGACTCAAAAGCTACAAATTTAAATGACATATTCGTTAAGCATTCTACAGACAATATGTAGGAGCTGTTAATTGTAGAATTTCCACTAAAGATGTAACATAGATATCATCATCATCATAATCATTATTTCGTCAACATATGTTCAAATTTTTCGGTGTAGGAAAACACAGACATGTTTCTGCAGCGTAGCACCAGAAAATGCTGAGCATGTGCTTCAACACCAACACTGTCAACTATATGAAGACAACAGAGATGCAATCTGGCCTGTTCCAACCACAACTAAGACAAAACTGTATGGTACATGAGGGATATGGACTGCACGATAGCTTTCATACAGGCTACCGGACTTCTGATATGTTTTCTGACAGAAGGATCAAAGAAGATCATCAACATGCAAGTCTTTTTTTTTAAACAAAAAAATCATTCTCATTAAAACACACCAAGAATATCTGCCAAATCTCTTGCTTCATGTAATTTCATGCCCATATTGTCTCCAAAAATCTTATTCCACTTCTGTGGTGATCAACCCCTGTCTCTTTCTCTAGAGGCTTTACCTTCTTTTACTATTCCGTCTAAACCACTGCAGCATTTCATAAGGCTGAAATGTTTCAGTTTCCAGGTTATGGTAATGCGTTTCTCACAATTGTCTTTATTTTAAGAAACTGCATGAATACAAGAACCTTTACCTAACAAATGATTGCCTGAAAAAAAAGTTTGTGGGCTAAACTATGTGTGGGCTAAACTATGTGTGGGCTAAACTATGTGTGGGCTAATCTATGTGTGGGCTAAACTATGTGTGGGCTAAACTATGTGTGGGCTAAACTATGTGTGGGCTAAACTATGTGTGGGCTAAACTATGTGTGGGCTAAACTATGTGTGGGCTAAACTATGTGTGGGCTAAACTATGTGTGGGCTAAACTATGTGTGGGCTAAACTATGTGTGGGCTAAACTATGTGTGGGCTAAACTATGTGTGGGCTAAACTATGTGTGGGCTAAACTATGAAGGATAATGTTTAGAAAATGTTCAGGTAACTGGGTAGGACAGGCATGCTCGTGCAGAGTGGCATGCTTCGCTGCGGAGGACACGGGTGAGGAGTATTGTCTAACTTTTTGTTTACCGGGGTTACGCCGGTGTGTTGGGAAATGAACAGGGAGACAGACTGGCTGGCTCTGCACAACTTGGTGGAATACTGATACATAATAAAGCAAGCATGGTTAGTGCCATGTGGAAGAGCGTGTACATTTCTGAGGAGCAGATGGATCATCACAGTCTGGTGAGATTGATGCGGGGAGGGGGTGGGGGAGTGACGAGAGGTTCTGGCAGATGCTCAAGGCTCAGAGGAAAGGCAAGATGGACGTTAAATCAGAATGCTACTTGCACCATTAGTATCGGAAATCTCGCTGGCTGCTGAAAATGGGGACGGAGTTCTTATGGGAATGCCCCAAGTGCTGTGATGTCGGTTCTTGAATCTAAATCAGATCAAATCAGGTAACTGGAGTGAGAACTAAAAGAAAATTTACCTAACAAATGATTGCCTGAAATAGTCACAGGCCCTTTTCCTTCAGTAAGGGTGAAAGTGCCGCCAATTTTTCCATTGATTGAGAAGTTCAAAGTTGCCTGACAGTTGGAATAAAGAAAAACAAGTGGAGATATACTGTCACACTATTTTTTTTTTTAAATTGAATTCTTTTGCAAAAATTATAGCAAGCCGCACCCAATTTAGTATCTATGGATACTAAATATGAAAGACAAATACTACGTGTTACCAATTCAGACTATAGGGTACATTTTCATGCATTCCCCAAAAATGTTACCTTGCTTGCATACACTAAAGAACAGCTTGTGAAAACATGTAAATTCCACTACATGGCATTGGGCCAACCGGTGAAAGGTCCAACGCCGCTGGATCCATGAATGTAACAAAATCCGCACCCCTACCCCCCTTTTTTATTAGTATTGTGCTGTTTGCACGACAAGACCCCTTGTGGCTTTCACCCTTATTGTTAGAACTTTCCCACGTACCTGAATCGTACGACCAGACATGTGACTCTCCCCGTCCAAGCTCCAAAGTAATTAGTCAAATACCGATGTCCCGGCCAGCTCAGGTGATTGCAGCAGACTGCAAAACAACGAGGGATAGGAGCCCCCTGGGAGTAGCCTAGTAACCCCTTTATAAACGATTGCCCGGAACCTTAGAGGGACACAGCCAGGACAGACACACACACGAGACGGACAGGCCAGAGGATAGTAGAGGAGGGACAGAAGGCACAGACTCACACCGACAGGGCAGAGGGTAGACACAGACGGAGACAGGCCAGAAGATGAACAGCCAGACCAGAGGATAGTCGGGGACAGACAGAGGATAGACACAAATAGAGAAGAGACAAGACACAAACGGAGATAAACAGAGGCAGAAGAAAGTGGATAGCAGAAGACAGCAAAGAACAGATGAGGGACAGGCTAGAGACGGAGTGAGGAGAACAAGAGACAAGCACCGGCCAATTAAGCAGGGAAGAGAGCATAGATAAGTAGATAGACGGTATTAGTTAACAAACCTTTAAGCCCAACCTGCACTAGTAGCCCGGTGGCGGTTCGAGACACTAGAAGTAGTTTAAAAAGTAACTATAAATAAAGAACATAACGTGAATCTACAAGTATATAGAGTTAAGAGAAAACAATGTGATTTGTTTTGTTTTGTGATTTTAAAGGGTATCATAATAAATACAGTGTGATCCTGAACAGTTGTTTCCAGACACTTTGTTGTATAAACAGACTCTCGTGAGAAGCATGCAAAGAGAACTAATTGTGCATTATCTTCTTCACCACTTACGACACGACCATCTTTCTCCTCGTCTATCAACAATCACCCGCCACCCTTGACACAAAACCATATCGAACCTGGGTCATTTGATGATGCATAGGCAGCAAAGGAGACGACTGTGTCACATAACAACAACACTCTCATACACGCTTTTTACATATGAATTTGTATATTGTTAAACTTTTCTATTTTAGTGAAATAATTTTTTTTAGATATATATGTCACGTATTATGTTACTCTTTAGGAGCCCCCTTGGTGTAGTGGCTAGACACTCGCATGCGGATTGAAAGGTCGTGTGTTTGGGTCCAGATGGAGCCAGACTGTTTTTTTTAATGACCTTGGCTAACAGGTCGACCCAGTCTGAAGTGAGTATCAGGTGTAGTCCTAGACCTGGGAAATATATGTGGCCAACGTAATGTGGACCACATCACCGACCAAGTCTCCTCACTCAAATTTATCAAGCCTGCCATTTCCAATTGTATCTTCAGCTTGCGCCGTCCAAGACCATCTTTTCAGTCTGTCCTAAAGACCTAAAGGCTCTACCTAAAGCTTCTTGCAGAAGGTGCTTCTTGTCTGTAGCTATTTTGAGACGTGACTTTGCCTGCAAAACTTTGAGTCTATCTGCAATAGTAGACAGTGCAAGTTTATGTCCATAAGAACTACTACAGGCATGTAGAGGGAAGGAGATACTTTACATTTTTACATAGTCTGGCCTAACAACCTAACCTCACACCGATACAACACACACAGCAACCATCTTATCACACACACACATGCACACAAACACACTCACACACATGATTATTAAGGTTAAAAACATGAGCATGATTCATAATTAGATCTTCATTTCACCAACTGTAAACTCTGGCGGAAAGTTTTGGTTGTTTAATTCTGGACTCTAGTCCTGTTCCAGAAACAGTGTTGCATGCACATCCATTTCACAGGTCTGACTTATTTGCATGCAGACTGTTGGTTCCTTGCCTCTCAGGCAGATGTACTCCAACTTCAAAGGAAGCTCCCATTTAGTCGACTCTTACAACATGCTTTTGGGTAGGCAGTGCCTATTCTTGTAATGCAACATCTAAACAACCAGAGTTATATTATCAACTTCAAAACACTGGCCAGGTAATTGAAAATGGCAGTTAACATTGCTAAAAATATTTGTCGAGAGATAAGACGATTTACCAAGAAAATAATTACAGGAGACAAAACACTAAGCTAGCTCACCATGGGATTCACTCCTTTTGTTAAGTTAACAATGGTCCCTTTCTGCATTTCTCCATCCTGGCCTTCTGATTCTAATACAACGACATTCTGCTCACCTGCAACAGCATCTCCATCAAGGACCGCCTGAAATGCAAACAATCGTCAAATAACTTCTTTTCTATTCACTAAGAATGTTAAATGTAAGATTACAATTTGTTGCACCTTTCCTCTTTACAGACAACAGAATTACACTGTGATATCTTTCTTTCTGCCCTAAATCTCGGTTCCCATTTTTCTTTATTTTGAAGCGCCGTCCTGGCTGCTGCTGGGGCCCCTAATATAACCTAACGGTTGAACAGGGTTCTGGGACCTCTTCATGTGTGATCCTCATCCAAATGGTGGCACTTTGTGTCACCGGGTGTTTATCACTCAGTGTGATGTCCTGGTGGGGTAAAAAGTCAAGTCTTTCTGCTCTTTATCTGTCTCCCTAACCCCACCTCCCCACACCCACCCCAATCCCGTGGAGCATAGGCCCACAACTAGTGCATACCCATTTATCCTATCAATTGCTATGTAACTTGTTGATTTCATTGTTTAGTTTCCTGCATATGCTTTTGTTTTCGTCTGAACCTATATAACCCAGTAGTTTCCAGTATAAAGACATTCTAGCTATACAGACGCAGTTTCTAAATTATAAAACTATTTAGTTTTAAAATTCGAATATTTCAGTTTAGACAATTGGAAGTGAAATTTTGAGAACCATTATTGATTAAAGTTAAATGCATTTGTAATAAATGCCTGAAAAAATTCATGAAAAAATGTTGCCGTCTTGTTTAGGGTGAAATTTTTCTTTATTTGAAGCCCCACCATGGCTCTTGCCAGGGGCCGCAATATAGCTAGGCCATAAATATGGCCAATTGGTTGAAAGCGGTTTCTGCGACCTCTCCACGGTGATTCTCATCCACATGGTGGCACATTGTGTCATCGGGTGTTTATCGCTTGTGTGATGTCCTGGTGTGGTAGAAAGTTACTCAGTCAAATTCACAAACATTACAGTAAATCTGATCATTCAAGAATCATCATCATCAAACAGCACGTTCTTTACAGAATGTCGCTCTCTTGACAGCATACCTGAAAGTCTCTCTGTTCACATCAAATGTATCTTGAATGTCTTATATCCACATTCTTGGAGGTTGCTTTCTGCATTTTTTCTGGAAATGCACCTTCCATTACCGTTCAAAACGCAAAATGACGTTTAAAATGGCAAAAATAACTTTCAGGAGAGGAAATAGTCAATTCTCCTCGATATTCAGATCTTTTAGGATGTCAATGTTTTGCTTGAATAAAAAAAAAAAAAAATTCTGGACAAATAATGGTATTAACGCTGATACAACAAATACAACAAAGAATGTAGCAACATACTAGGTGGTGTTGTAAGAGAATCACCCAAAAAGGCACTGAAAAGAAACAAATGTACTGAGAAAACAAGGACACATAAGAGAAACCCTTAAAAGAATGACAAGACAGGCCACAGCTACTGAACTGGATTCCATTCATAAAAACAAAAAAAACTGAGCCCTATATGAAATATAAACAGCACAACAGGAGGATGGGGGTCGACATGGTGTAACAGCTAGATACTCGCCTGCGGATCAGAAGGTTTTAGTTCAGGTCCTGATGGAACCAGACTTTTTTTTTTTAACAAGGTTGACCCAGTCTTAAAATGATTACCAGTCCTGATAAGTAAAGGCGTCAGGTGTGTTGCTGACCTCATCACCCACCGAGTTCCACATATAAAAAATGTGTGTATATAGTTATAGTTGCCCAATATAGCTGGAGGTGTGGGAAAGGGTCATTTACTTTAAAGCAGGATAATAACGATGATGATGAGGCATGAGAATCACAATCCATGCAATGGTGAACGCGACTAGCAGGATTTGAATATTGAATGGTAAATGTTGAATTAAGAATTGATATCACAATACTTGGGGCATTTCCAAAAGCACTCCGGCGTCTTCAGGAGCACGCAAAGATTTCCAATTCTGATGGTACTAGTAACGGTCTGATTGAATACTTGTATTCACATTAGTAACGGTCTGATTGAATACTTGTATTCACATTAGTAACGGTCTGATTGAATACTTGTATTCACATTAGTAACGGTCTGATTGAATACTTGTATTCACATTAGTAACGGTCTGATTGAATACTTGTATTCACATTAGTAACGGTCTGATTGAATACTTGTATTCACATTAGTAACGGTCTGATTGAATACTTGTATTCACATTAGTAACGGTCTGATTGAATACTTGTATTCACATTAGTAACGGTCTGATTGAATACTTGTATTCACATTAGTAACGGTCTGATTGAATACTTGTATTCACATTAGTAACGGTCTGATTGAATACTTGTATTCACATCTTGTCTTTTGCTTGAGTGTTGAGCATCAGCCTGATCCCCTGGCCACTTTTTGCAGCAATGTTCATTTCAAACCATGATGATCTATTTGTGCTTCCACACAGTTCACTCATCCCTAAAGAGCCTTTACAATGTCTGGCTAGTCATTCATAATATACAAACAAGTGGTGCAGAACCAGCCAGTCTATCCACCTGTTTGTTTCTCACACACTAGCAAGAGCAGGGGAAAATCAGCAAGACCAGACCATGTAAAGTCTTCCAACAATAAGTGCAGAACCACTGATGCCATGACATATTCTTTCTCCTGAAATGCATATCTCTCAACCTATTCAAAATGTATACAAGAGAAAATCTGTGACCTAACATAAAACAGTAAGGCAAGCATCAAGTTTAGGATATAGCAGTTTCTTTGGGGGTACCCAGCACAAAAGCTTTAGCATTACATTTGTGAAACCCATCTTGGATACAAAGGCATGTCTATTTAGGCTGAACGCGAAACATGAGGTTGTTCAAAGACACAAAAAAATGAAAATATATGCAAACTACTTTTCAGGTGGTACACATAAACGTTTTGAAATGCCTATCAATACAGCTAAAAAAAAAAAAAGGACAACACCAGACAATAAATGAAGCCATGAAGTCAATGTATGGGTCCAAAACAAAAAATTAAACTAGTTTGGACATATGCAGACACAATGCAGCTGACATTCAAGATGTTCACTTTCTTCGTGATGGAATAAACTTTTTGTTCCATTCTTTCATGTTTATACTTTTTTAATATCCATTTGTTTAAAAGCACAACCTTTAATACTCTCAAGAGTTGTATGCTACTGCCAAATCTCTAGAACTACAATAACATACTAGTCCTGCAGAAGCTATACTACAGTCTACTGAAGAAGGCAATGGGGAGTGTAGGGGGATATCCTTAGTGCAGTGATGTCTATTTTTTAATTCTTGATTCATTTTTCATTCATAATATTTTTTGAATTAGAATCATGTTACAAATTCAAAAAATCTCATAAACATGCACATACCAGTTTCACAAAGACTACATGGTCTATGAAATCCTCATCATCTTCTTCGTCTTCACAACTCACAACCCATTTGAAACTTTTGCGAACCTCGTTAAGCTCAAAACCTGAAACAGTTATCACAAAACAAGTGATCGTGGAAGCTACGAGAACAATACAATGTAAATCTGGAAGAAATAAGCAGAAAAACGTTATACTGTTGCTGATTACATGATATTTTAAATTCCTCAGCAGTGTTATTCAGCTTAACTCTTTGAGTCCCAACGAACGCATCATACGTTCATGGATTCCTACCTAGAAGTCCAATGAACGCAAGATGTGACGATTTTACGTCTTTCTTGGCTACCCCTTGGGCCAGTGAGTTAAACCCCCAGGACTTAAAGAGTTAATAGGAGGAAAAGAAAGAAAGAAAGAAAGAAAGAAAGAAAGAAAGAAAGAAAGAAAGAAAGAAAGAAAGAAAGAAAGAAAGAAAGAAAGAAAGAAAGAAAGAAAGAAAGAAAGAATATGAATGAATATGAATAAATATGAATGAATAAGAAAATTGAAGTTGGAAAGTACTGTAGCAAGAACCTAACTTCATGAAAACAGCCACACAAACAATTCACACAATCCTCTGTTGGCTGTTGGTATGAGATTTGGTGTTTCTGTATCTTTGCCAATACTAAAAACCTCAGGCTCCCAGCCCAATAATTTTGTAATGACAATTTTTAACCATGTATTAAATTGTATTTTCAAGTATTTGTTTTTATATTACATATTATTAAATATATTTATTTGCCATTCAGCACATTATTATTATTATTGTTATTATTATTATTAATATTATTATTACTATTATTATTATTACTAGTATTATTATGCGGAATGGCAAATACATATGATAATTTACTCGAAATATGAAATAAAATAATTTTGAAAAAATAGGTGTATGCATGGTAATCCATTACTCCTGTTCCCATAAAGGACGAATTTTGTGTTATTTTAAAGCCGCACCCTGGTTGTCGCCGGAGGCCCTAATAAAACCCATCATATGAGCTGACCAGGGCTTCTGGGACTTCACTGGTGATCCTCATTCGAGTGGTGGCACTTTGTGTTACATTGTATGTGTGTGTGTTTTTTTTTTTTTTTGTGTGCTCCGTGTGATGTCCTTTTGGGGTTGAGCATAAATTAATCAATGTCTGCATGGTTAAAGAAACTCCCTAAGTAGGCTTACAAAATTATTATGACCCTCAAGCGTTCTACCCCCCACCACTTTCCAAAATTGCTGGAGAGCTCAAGGGACCCGAGGCCTATTGTTCCGGCGCTTACAGTTGTAATAGACACCTAATGCTATCCAGTCTCTCTGTGTGGGTTACGGCGCCTAATTTGGAGTGGGGGGGGGGGTGAAATAGCCAAGCATGTCGTAATAGGCGACTAATTAGGGATGTTTCAAAGTCGGATGGCGTCTGCCCGAGAGACAAGGAGCCGATATCTGCATACAAATAAGTCAGTGTGTAAAACGGATGTGCACGCAAAACTCAACTTGTGGAATAAGACTAAAGTCCAGAAGTGAATGAACAACCAGAAATTGTCACCAGAGTATACAGTCGATGAACGTCAAGAAGTGCTGCCCTTTTGTACACCGCAGTCCTACTAAGGTAAGAGGTGGTGATCTTCTCCCCGTCCCCCTAACCGCCCTGCAGGATTAACACCTCGAGGATGAGAATGCCTCATGTACTGCCAGAAACCCGATCGATCAATACATCGAACAGTTCGTCCCCTCCGGTCTGCTGCCTAAAGGTCTACCGTGCTGGTCTGCCATACAGATAGGGATGTTTTAATCTCATGACGGTATGGTAATTCATAAGATTAAAACACCCTTATGTGTAAGGCAGACCGGCAAGGTAGATCCGCCGTCCAGCCTCTAAAGAAGTTACAAATGGGGCACCTGGAACAGTGACACCAGCCAGACATAACCTATGCTGGTAAGGGCGAAGCCCTGTTCAACGGCATTGTGGTTAAAGTTGTAGATGGATGGTTACAGCAACTGGGCGGACTGGGCAGGGACACGTATTAGCTCCAGTAAGTTCGCAGAGGGAGGATTTCGCAGAGGGAGGATTTCGCAGAGGAAGGATTTCGCAGAGGAAGGATTTCGCAGAGGGAGGATTTCGCAAAGGAAGGATTTCGCAGAGGGAGGATTTCGCAGAGGGAGGATTTCGCAGAGGGAGGATTTCGCAGAGGGAGGATTTCGCAGAGGGAGGATTTCGCAGAGGGAGGATTTCTTCTCAGTTTCTCCCTCTCTCTTCCCTGGTACATTATCATCATCGTCATTGTAATCATCATCATAAGGTATGGCAGTGATAACGTCGCTTTTATCACAATAGGCCCTAAGCCTTAAAGAAACAAGTCTCTCGTCAAATCTCTCGCCTCGTGAGCTTTCCTCCCAACGTTGTCACTTATATGCCCGTCCTCGTACTAGTCGGCCCCTGCCCCTCTCTCCTGTCACCATACCTTCTGCTACTATTCTTTCCAATGCCCTCTGGCTAAAATTATTATTTTCCGAGACAAGATGCTTTTTCACTCGACAATCTTATTTGAAGTTCAGATTTCCCTGGTTATAACATTCAAATACGCGTATTCATTAAACTCAATGTTAAAGAACGTAGAATATCCAAGATCTATCTTTAACAGCAAATTACATTTTACAGATTTATAGGCAAAAAAAAAAAAAAAAAAAATTAATCAGGATTTAAATGTTACGTTTGGTTTTCAGACCGTTTTGATTTCTCTACAACTTTTAAATCAGACACTTTTTGTTCCATATATATATATATATATATATATATATATATATATATATATATATATATGGCAAGACCGCCACGCACACTCTTGAGTATATGACAAGACCCCACGCTCCCTCTTGAGTAAATGACAACACCACCATGCCATCTCATGAGTCTATGGCAAGACCCACACGCCCCCTCTCGAGTATATGGCAAGACCCCAATGCCTCCTCTTGAGTATATGGCTAGACCCCAATGCCTCCTCTTGAGTATTTGGCAAGACCCCAATGCCCCCTCTTGAGTATATGGCAAGATCCCAACGCCTCCTCTTGAGTATATGGCAAGACCCCAACGCCTCCTCTTGAGTATATAGCAAGACCCCACTTGAGTATATGGCAAGACCCCCAGGCCCTCTCGAGTATATGGCAATACCCCCTCGCCCTCTCTTGAATATACGGCAAGACCCCACGATCACTCCTGAGTATATAGCAAGACCCCTACGCCCTCTCTTGAGTATATGGCAAGACCCCTACGCCCTCTCTTGAGTATATGGCAAGACCCCCATGCCATCTCATGAGTCTGTGGCAAGACATTCACGCCCTCTAGAGTATATGGCAAGACCCCCACGCTCTCTTGAATATATGGCCACAGCCCGGTGCCTCATCTTGAGAAAATAGCAAGACCCCCACGCCCTCTCTTGAGTATATGGTAAGACCCCTACGCCCTCTCTTGATTATATGGCAAGACCCCACGATCACTCCTGAGTATATAGCAAACCCCTACGCCCTCTCTTGATTATATGGCAAGACCCCAACGCCATCTCATGAGTATATGGCAAGACATTCACGCCCTCTCGAGTGTATGGCAAGACCCCCACGCCCTCTTGAATATATGGCAACAGCCCGGTGCCTCATCTTGAGAAAATGGCAAGACCTCCACGCCCCATCTTGAATTATGGCAAAACCCCCACGCCCTCTATCGAGTATATGGCAAGACTCCCACGCCCCCCCCCCCTTCCCCGGCTTTATGGCAAGACCCCCACGCACACTGTTGAGTATATGGCAAGACCCTCATGCCCTATTATGAGTATATGGCAAGACCCCCACGCCCTCTTGAATATATGGCAAGACCCCTACGCCCTCTCTTAAGTATATGACAAGACCCCCACGCACACTGTTGAGTATTTGGCAAGATCCCCATGGCCCTCTTGAGTATATGGCAAGACCTACACCTCCCTCTTGAGTATAAGGCAAGACCCCAACTCTTGAGTATATGGCAAGACCCCCACTCTTGAGTATATGGCAAGACCTGCACCTCCCTCTTGAGTATATGGCAAGACATTCACTCTTGAGTATATGGCAAGACCCCCGCTCTTGAGTATATGGCAAGATCCCCGCTCTTGAGTATATGGCAAGACCCTCACTCTTGTGTATATGGCAAGACCCCCACTCTTGAGTATATGGCAAGACCCCCACTCTTGTGTATATGGCAAGACATTCACTCTTGAGTATATGGCAAGACCCTCACTCTTGTGTATATGGCAAGACCCCCACTCTTGAGTATATGGCAAGACCCCCACTCTTGAGTATATGGCAAGACCCCCACTCTTGAGTATATGGCAAGACCCCCACTCTTGTGTATATGGCAAGACCCCTACTCTTGAGTATACGGCAAGACCCCCACTCTTGAGTATATGACAAGACCTGCACCTCCCTCTTGAGTATATAGCAAGACCCCCACGCTTTTATAGAGTATATGGCAAGACCTGCACCTCCCTCTTGAGTATATGGCAAGACCCCCACGCTTTCATAGAGTATATGGCAAGACCTGCACCTCCCTCTTGAGTATATGGCAAGACCCCAACGGCTTTCTTGAGTATATGGCAAGACTCCAAGCCCTCTTTAACATATGGCAAGACCCCACACCTCTGGGCTTATGGAAAGACCTGTACTCCCCTTCCCCCACTTTGAGTATATAACAAGACCTGCCCGCCTCCCTCGAGTATATGGCAAGACCTCAGTATGGAGGATACATTATCCTCAGAATGTGGTCCTAATCTATAATTAAATGTCTGTGTTATCGTATTAATTATATATTAATTACATATACAAACTGCTTATGAAAACATTTTTTATTCCTAATTATATAAAATATATAACTAATTATTATAGTCGAATGCATTTGATTTCAAAGTGACTTGACTCCACCCTTCATCCTATTAATACTCCCCCCCCCCCCCCCACCCGACCCCCGAGAGGGGGCCGCCAAGATCTGTACTAAAAGGTTCAACAAACATAACCTATGCAATGTGGCGTTGGCGGTCAGCTCTACCCACAGCTTTCTGTCTTGTGCACTTTCAATCACTTCTGACACAAATGACCTTATATGCCATTTGTCTAACATATGCCATATGTCTCCCACTGCCTCTTTGTCACGATGTACTCCAGTGATATCCTCACAACACGACGGCTTTTTCTAGATTGTTTCCTTCTGATGTAGGCGATCAGTTCACTTCGTGTGTCAGTTTCTTTCAAGACAATTTACTTTTATCTGTTTAGGGTGTTATTAGTCAATATAACCATGTCATAAAATTAATTTTGCGGAAACAGAAACAATTATCACAGCATACCCATCAGAGATAACCAAGGCAGACTGCTCACCACAGAACAAAAACGACATGCAGTGGACTAAACACTTCTCCGACCTCTTGAACAGAGCTGATCCTGAAAATCCCCCAGATATTCAACCAGCCTCTCAGGACATTGACATTATTACTGAACCACCAAGCAAACAAGAAATCCTTAATGCTATCTACACTTTAAAGAACAACGAAGCATCAGGCAAAGACGAACTGCCAGCAGAACTTTTCAAAGTAGATCCCAACACAACTGCTAGCATTCTGGAACCATTGTTCAAGGATATTTGGGAAAAAGAAGTGTTGCCTGACGACTGGACAATAGGACTAAGAACAACAGTCAAAATCCCCAAAAAAGGAGACTTAACAGACTGCAATAATTGGAGGGGAATTACTCTACTCTATAGATACAAAGAAAACTAAGATCATGACAAACAGTCCAAACCAACAACCAGTGACCATAAGTAACCAATCACTTGAAAATGAACATTTCACATATCTTGGCAGTGTGGTGTCCCTACTGGGAGGGACAGAGGAATACATACAGCCACGTCTGAACAAACTAGAGCTGCTTTTGAAAGGATGAGACAAATCTGGAAATCCGACAATTACTGCAGAGAAACGAAACTCCGACTCTACAAGAGCATCATTTTGCCAGCTCTTCTTTATGGAGCGGAATGCTGTAGAATTACCAAAAAGGATGCACACAAGCTGTCGACCTTCCACCACACATGTCTACGTAGAATTATCAAAATTTTCTGGCCAGATACAATCTCAAACACTAAACTACTTCAAGCCACAAACCATGAAACTTTAGACATTATGATTACCAAGAGAAGTTGGAAATGGCTTGGCCACGTTATGAGAATGACTTCTGATATACCTGCCAAAACAGCTCTCACATGGACACCAGAGGGAAAGAGAAAACAGGGGCGCCCAAAAACAACATGGAGACGAACGATGGAAAGTGACCTGAGTGCGGTATCTTTGACATGGAAAACTGCAATGAAGATTGCACAGGACAGGAAAGCATGGAAAGTCCTTTCTGAAGCCTCATGTGCCACTAGGCATAACGAGAACTGATAAAATTAACTGGCAGTGATAAGTGTATGATAGCATTATAAAGCAATCCACATTATTCACGTTCATAGTAAAATTGGAGTATGGTGTGGCAACAGGAAAGTTGGAAGGAAAGAGTTAAGCTGGGGTGAACCAGATTAAAGTTGAAGGGGAAGATGGGAACACAATGGAAAGAGGGGAAAGTTGGAGGGAAGAGGGTAAATTTAAGAGGTAGAGGGGAAAGTTAGAGGGGAAAGAGGAGAAAAAAGAGAAATTTGGAGACGGTCAGGAAAGTTGGAGAAGAGAGGAAAGCTGGAGGGGAAGAGAAGTGGGGCGAGTCAAAGAGAGAAGACATTTAGACAGTTTTATATAATGTCATGAAGGGACATCTAAACAAGGGTAACTGGTTGGTAGTACACGAGACAGAAGACAGTACAGACATGATCAACAACTAATCTCTACTTCGCACTTTATCAGTGCCCATCAATGCGTGTGAACTCTTGTCTCCGGTGTCCAACTCTTTGTCCAACAAAAGGCGTGTGTACATGTGCTGGGACACTGCAAGGTCACAAGAGTATCCAACAAAAGACGTGTGTACATGTGCTGAGACACTGCAAGGTCACTAGAGTATTTAACAAAAGACGTGTGTATGTGCTGAGACACTGCAAGGTCACTAGAGTATCCAACAAAAGACGTGTGTACATGTGCTGGGACACTGCAAGGTCACTAGAGTCTCCAACAAAAGACGTGTGTACATGTGCTGAGACACTGCAAGGTCACTAAAGTATCCAACAAAAGACGTGTGTACATGTGCTGAGACACTGCAAGGTCACTAGAGTATCCAACAAAAGACGTGTGTACATGTGCTGAGACACTGCAAGGTCACTAGAGTATCCAACAAAAGACGTGTGTACATGTGCTGAGACACTGCAAGGTCACTAGAGTATTCAACAAAAGACGTGTGTACATGTGCTGAGACACTGCAAGGTCACTAGAGTATCCAACAAAAGACGTGTGTACATGTGCTGAGACACTACAAGGTCACTAGAGTATCCAACAAAAGACGTGTGTACATGTGCTGAGACAATGCAGGGTCACTAGAGTATCACAGCATAATAAAATTGAAGAATAAATATAAATGAACTTACGTGTAAATGTGTCTAGATCAGAAATTGGTAGGTAAAAAACACAAACAAAGAACAACCAACTTACACCAGAAATATTCCATCTCGGTGCTTCCAGTCAAATCACCAACACTAGAGGCGTTGCTCTTCTCAGAATGACTGCGAGAACGGTTAGCCATTATTCAGTTTAGAAACAGTCACCTGCAACTACGAATGGTGAATGATTTATCCTAACCGACTACATACAACCTAGCAGTAACTATGCAAACGCACCCAACTGTTCCTACAGCTGGCTAGAAATTAGAAATCAGCTGAGTTATTTTAACCACGTGCTATCGCGTCTTTCACGCTTTCCTCTAATGAGAATGGGGGTCGGTGAGTGGCAAATCAGGGACAGACAACTAACATACATTGTTTACCATTTGGATCCGATCGCTACTTAGTTTGTTTTCGCCCGTTATTTTCTTGATGGGCGACTGCATTAGGGTAGTAATAATTCATCATCATCCCGTAACACTACGTGTCATTGGGTCTCCAGTTTCTGTTGATTTTCTTATCAGCTCTCTCCACCTTTGGCGGTCAGTGGCGATGGATTTCATGGTTGCATGTCTGAAGCATGTCCAGTCAGTCTCTGTAACCAGGTCTTTCTTGGTCTACCTTTTCTCCTCTTTTCCTCTACTGAGCCCTGCAGTATTACAGTAATAATTCTCCAATTATCCCTGTGTGGGTTCCCAGACTATTTTGGGTGAAATGATCCACCCCCCCCCCCCGGGGCCTCCCAACAAGCAAATCGTAGAAGGCGACTAATTAGAGATGTTTCATTGGAAGTCAGAGTGCATCCGCATAAGAGATGCGGAACCAACACTCTGCATACAAGTAAGCCAGATCTGTAAAACGGATATGCACGCAAAGCTCAAGTTCTGGAACATGATTAAAGTCTAGAAATGGACTAATAACCAGAACTTTCCCTCGGAGTTTACAGCCAGTGAACATTTGGAAAAAAAAAAGAAGTCCAATTCGGACAAGGAAGGAAACTGGGTTGTGGTGATAATACCATAGTAAAAAAATGTAACAATTAGCACCAACAGAGCTCCAACACCTCATACAAAGCATTTTCATCCCCATCCTATGCTACAAGTGCCAGACATGGTCACTCACAACAAAACAAATAAGAAAATTAGTAACCATGGAAATGAGGTGTCTGAGAAAGGCTGTGGGAGTGACCAGAAGATATAAAATCAGGAATTGGGTCATACGAGATAAAGGATAAAGTCAGCACAGAACCAATTCTAAATTACATAGAAAGACAACAAATCAAATGGTTTTCCCACTTGGAAAGAATGCCTTCTGATGCTATACTATTTAAGGCATATACCAAAAGAGGTGAGGGGCGTAGAGCAAGATGGAAGGATAATATCAGAGAAGCTCTACAGTCCCACTATGTGTCTTTGGTCGAAGTAGCCAGAAAAGCAGGACCTTATATCTCCCTCGACACCCAAAGCGGTAAAAGAGGACGTAAAGAAGAAGAGCCCGGTTCAACACAAACCCCCTCCCCCGAGTGGGTTCCAGGGCCCCATTGTGAAGAAAACAAGAGTAGACCCACTTCCACTCCAATAAGACTGTCGTAAGAGCCGACTAATTGGGGACTTCCTTTGAAGTCGGAGTGCATCTGTCAAATCGGCAAGGAACAACTAACTGCACACAAATAACCCAGTAAAACGGATGTACACGCAGAACTCAGGTCCCGGTACAAAGCTAATGTCCAAACTGATGCCCGAGTTTACAGCCGGTCAACAAAGAACAAGAGAAAGAAATATTTTTTAAACCTATATTGTATTGGAAGTGCCAAACGTAGACATTAAAAGCAAATGGTGAAAGATCGAAATAACAGAAATGATAGATCTTATTATATGGTTAAATCTTTTAATTGTTTTTTTTTTTTTTTTCTTTCACTCTGTTAAAATACTGTGCCTTTCATTCTAGTCGGTTCATGAGATCCCTTTATTTTTCTACAACTAGTCTTAAACACTCCAACGTCGATTTGGTGGACGTCACTTCCTAGAGTGGTCACACTTGAAATAGACCCATATTGTTATACACACATCGGCACTTTTGGTTGTGAATAAGAACACCATACCGGCCACATTGACTTCCCAGAACATTACCTGGCAATAACTTTTTTTTATTATATCATTGTTTAAAATTCCTTATCTATACGGGTTTGACCCCCACGACTTTTGTTTCTAGGCAGATTTAATTTAAAGTGAGTCGTCATCATCATCAATTTCCACTTCTGCGGTTAGGCGGCGTGTTGAGTTTGCGATAAAATGCTTGATGGGCAGAAATGGCTATTGTCATTCCGTGTCGATGTAGAAGCTTTTTAGTATTGTCAATCCGTATCCTAGGGCGACCTCTTGCATTCACATTGGTTCTTTTCACGGGTAGCGCCAGCCTTGGTAGCTGTTTAGGCTGCATCCTTACTAGATGACCAAACCATTCGATCTTCTGTTTCTTGGTGACTTTTCTGCATGGTGTTGTTCCCACAGTCTCTCTGATATCATTTCTAACTTTGTTGCGGATGGATAAGTTGGCGGCCTTTTCTGGCGTCTCATTTTACAGGTGTTAATTTTACGTAGGTTAGCCTTTGATAATGTCCATGTCTGGCACTGGTAGCACATTGTTGGTAGAAATATGCTCTTTTTAATCTGTTTCTTGGCGCTCATACTTAAGTGTGGATGTCTTAATACCGAGTGGTTACAACGTCGGGCTCTCGTGCCGGAGACCCTGGTTCGACCCCGACGTAAGATAATGGAGTTTTTTTTTTGGTCGAGGCAAAATTAAACGCCCTAATTTGCAGTCCCCGGCAACAGCACTAGCCGCGCTATCCTAAATCCTAAGGCTCACGACCTCCTGTTTACACCGCCCTAAAAAAGTGGTACACACAGACAGAAGTGACAGTAATAATGGGGTCAGTTGGTATAAAAGTGGACTGGCTCGTTGACATCTCGTTTCTTTTTCCCGACCTATTCTCGTCTCCTTCGATGGTATACTTCAGAGATCTTTAAATTCTTTAGCTTTCTTCAAACAGGTACCATTCAATCCTATATGTAGTGGACTAAAAACTTTAAATGAGTACCAGCCTAAAATGAGAGTAATGATTGTGGGTGTTATATTGACCATGTTATTTCTCAAATGTCGATCGACTGATCCATATCAGTACCATGTACTCTATTCAGGTCATATTCAGGATGTTAGAGGCTCCTGTGCTGTAATTTTTTTTTCGCCCTTTTTTCACTCAACAGTGCTATTGCTTTTTCATCGCTACTCTGTATTTAAACTGCGCTGAAGTATTTAAAGTTTACACAATACACACTAGATAATTGCTAATTAAACGTGTTAAATTATTTTGGAGACAAAAATATACGGTAAAGGAGCAGAAAACAGCCATTACAGTTTAAAAGCCCATAAAAAAGAACAAATTACCATTGAAACCTCTACTTAGTTTAAGTTAGTCAACAATATACGCTGCAAGTTAATCATCATTTAGCAAAACTCACGAAACAGAGAAGTGTCTTTCTTCTCAATGTTAAATTTGCGAATGGATTGATCCCTTCTTCCAAATCGAGACTGTGATACCTGATTCTATGGTGAGCACTAGGCTGGACTTTATTTTGTGCTGTCAGTAGGCAGCTATTAATCCGTTTTAGAGTTGAAAATTGCCTTACAGCAGAAGTTTGTTACTGAAGTACAGTTGTAAATCATGCCTGCAGTATGACCATTTCAGTAAATATCACAATTTTTTTTAAAGACAAAACCATTCAGAGAAATTAAGGACAGGAGAGCTTAACACCATCTTCTTTCTTCGCGGATAACATATATCTTTGCATTGCCGACTATTGCAGATAGGCTAAAAGTGCTGCAGACTGTCATATCTCAGAGCAGCTGCAAATAAAGAGCACCCTCTGTATGAAGCCTTAGATGCAGTCAAGCGTCAGAGACTGAAAATGGAAACATCATGGGTGGCTCAAGCAGAAGACACAGTTAGAAAAGTTTGCATGCTGAAGAACACTGGTCGAGCAGAGGAGTGGGTTAGAGAACCAGAGGAAAAGCCTGACGTATGTAGGGTCATGATCTCATTAGGCCGGGAGTGCAGAGAGTGGCCAGCTGGGGCTACTGAGGTGGAGGTCCACAAGTTGATTCACGACAATTCTCGTCCTGATGATCTGATTATCTACACAGTCAGTTCTGTATTGAAAGGGAAGAGAAGTGCCTGGTGTTTCGTAGATAAGTCCAGTGGAAAATCTTTAGTGCAGGACAGCCTGGTATATGATACCACAACATATAGCATGAGCATAGGGGTAGAGGCAGTCACTACAGCTTTTCGATGGCTAGAGAACAAGATACATACACATGTAATTGTAACGGAAAGCATGCTGAAAAAGGTGAATACATGATTGCTTCGAGCATCTTTGCAAGTTTCACTTGCAAGGTCACGGGTAATGAGCATACTGTACTTTGGATCTTTTCTCCAGGATATACCGGCATGGTTGTAATGAACAGGCAGGCAGATTGGCTGGATCTGCACCGTTGTGTGGTGAATTGATACACGACAAGACAGATGTGGCCAGAGCTCATTTGTAACAAGTAAGGAAGTCAAAAGAGAAACAATATTATTATGGGCCAGAGAGACTGATGCATCTGGGTGTGACCAGAGGGTTCGATCGGTATACTACGCTCAGAGAAAGGCAAGACGGACATACAACCAGACTACGACTGACACCATTAGTATTATAATTCTGCAATCGCTGCTGAGGATGGGGACGGAGCGCTTATGGGAATGCCCTGAGTACTGTGATGTCAATTCTTGACTCAGCTCAACTCTGCCTACCCCCCGAGCGCGAACTCGGACCACAAGATGTTTGTCAACCGGTCGCTGCGCAGCTGGTTTAACAAACTTAGCTAGCGCAACGGCGCTCTTACATAAGTCCATTGCATAATTCGCACTGCTATGACTAGCTTTGTGCAACGTGTTATAACAGTCTGTCAGTGCCTATAATTTATTAAGTGCACCTTCTAACTTTTTTTCTTCTCCTCCTCGATACCAATCAATGTCTTTGACTTTTTTTTCAACCATATAACGAGGCAGCGGTTCTTAAACTGGGTGCGTATGAGGTTCCGC